CCCGGAGATGCTGGGAGGGCTGGAGCCCCTCTGCTGGGAGGGGGGGATGAGAGAGTTGGGGGGTTCAGCCTGGAGAAGAGAAGGCTCCGGGAAGACCTTGGAGCCCCTTCCAGTCCCCTCAAGGGGCTCCAGGAAAGCTGGGGGGGGACTCTGGATCAGGGAGGGGAGCGATGGGATGAGGGGGAAGGGTTTGAAGCTGAAAGAGGGGGGATTTAGGTTAGATATTGGGAAGAACTTCATTTTGAGGGTGGTGAGAGCCTGGCCCAGGTTGCCCAGACAAGCTGTGGCTGCCCCATCCCTGGAGGTTCAAGGCTAGGTTGGAGGGGGCTTGGAGCAACCTGGTCTCACTGAAGATGTCCCTTCCTCTAGAAGGGATGGAACTGGATGAGCTTTAAGGTCCCTTCCAACCCCAAACATTCTGCGATGCTCTGGTGATTCCACCACTTCCCTGGGTTGGAGGGGACCTCAACGTTCATCAAGACCAACCATCAACCCACCACTGCCCAACCCACCACTGCCCCGTGTCCCTCAGCACCGGCTTTTAGATCCCTCCAGGGATGGTGTTTGGGAAGTGGAGCCATAGGAGGAGGGGGAAGAGTTTTAAACCAAAAATGAGGAGATGGAGCTGAGATGTGGGGCAGAAGTTCTTTGGTGTGAGGGTGGTGAGAGCCTGGCCCAGGTTGCCCAGAGCAGCTGTGGCTGCCCCATCCCTGGAGGGGTTCAAGGGCAGGTTGGAGGGGGATTGGAGCAACCTGGGCTGGTGGGAGGTGTCCCTGCCCAGGGCAGGGGTGGCACTGGATGATCTTTCACCATTTTCACCATTCTGTGATTCTGTGAAATCTGGAGCAGGCAAATGCCTTCTCAAGGTCTCCAGGCAAACAGGCTCTGAACTTCTCTAAGTCCAAGCCAAAGAACCTCCAGCCCCTCTCTCTCCCCAGGGAGCAGCTCAGCAGCCCCACGCTCACGGCACTGCACAGATGCCACCACGTATGTGCCATCCATGGGGACCCAGTGGGTGCCAAGCCCCCAGGGACAGCAGTGGGTTGAGGTCTGGCTGTGCTGTTCCCCCACCATGGGATTGGGCAAAGCGATGGGGTGATGCCCGAGGAGCTGGGATGGAGGGAATGGGGTGAGGGATGGGAACTGTCCCCTCCCTGGCGCGGGGGTGGGACTGGGTGGTCTTTAAGGTCCCTTCCAAGCCAACCCATTCTGAGAAACCTCCAGGAGAAGAGGATGCAAGGCCTCAGAGAGCAGAGGAGCAGAGCTGGTGACCCAAGGGCTCTTCCCAAACCTCTGGAAATCAGCCTCGGGGTGCAAAAGGTCTCACCGAGAGGGAGAGAAAAGGGGCTGGGACCGACCCGGCAGCTCCTGAGGCGGTGATTTCCCGAGCGGGGCTGTGGTGAGAGTGATTGTGCCCCTGTACTTATAGAATCATAGAATCATAGAATGGTCCAGGCCGGAAGGGACCTCCAAGGGTCATCTAGTCTGACCTCCCCACAGTCAGCAGGGACACCCCCAACTAGACCAGGTTGCCCAGGGCCTCGTCGAGCCTCTCCTTGAATATCTTCAGGGCACTGGTGAGGCCACACCTCGAGTGTTGTGTCCAGTTTTGGGCACCTCAATCCAAGAGAGATCTCGAGGTGCTGGAGCGAGTGCAGAGGAGGGCAACGAAGCTGGTGAGGGGGCTGGAAAACAAATCCTCTGAGGAGCAGCTGAGGAAGTTGGGACTGTTTAGTGTGAGGAAGAGGAGGCTGAGGGGAGACCTCATCACTCTCTACAACTACGTGAAAGGACACTGTAGAGAGGTTGGTGCTGGTCTCTTCTCACAGGTAATTAACAATAGAACGAGAGGGAATGGCTTCAAGCTCCAACAGGGGAGGTTTAGATTGAACATTAGGAAGGAATTTTTCACCCAAAGAGTGGTCGGGCGTTGGAACAGGCTGCCCAGGGAGGGGGTGGAGTCCCCATCCCTGGCTGTGTTTAAGGGCCGTTTAGAGGCAGTGCTGAGGGACATGGTGTAGGGGAGGACTTTGTAGAGTAGGGGAGATGGTTGGACTCGATGATCCCAAGGGTCTCTTCCAACCTCAATGATTCTATGATTCTATGAGAGGACACCAGCGCCTTCGGGACACGAAAGGGTCGATTCAATTAAAGTCACAGGCCCTGGAAGAGCTTTCTCCAGCAGAGAGAAAGGTTTTCCTGGTGCCTCCCACCGGGAAAGACAAAATGCCGACGGAGGGCGGGGGGCGATGCCCCCACGTCGCGGGATGCAGCTCCCTCGGGATGCAATCCCCCAGGGCTGGTCATCCCCAGCTCCCCAGGCAGGGTCGTTACTGCTCCTCTAATTACCCAGCTCCCGTAGCTGGCAGAGAGAAGGGGACGTGTCTCAAAGCAACCCCCGGAGATGCTTTTTTGAGGCTTTTTTGGGTTTTTTTTCCCCGAAATCCTCCTCTCGGCGCCGCCAAGCGAGGAATTCCGCAGCGGCAGAAATCGCTCAACAGCTCCTCCCCTCCCCAAAACTCCGTGCGCCTGCACAGGGCTTTGTGGGAGGACAAAAAAAAAAACCCAAAAAACCAAAACCAAAAAAAACCCCAAAAAACCCCAAAAAAAGGGAATTTGTGTCAACCTAAAAAATACAGAGCCGGTGGAACTGGTCAATACAGAGCCGGTGGAGCTGACATCCCTTCTCCAGCAGCGATTTGGGGGGAAATACGTTTAATGACAGAGAGATGGATCCTGCCAGCGCTCGGCCAGGGGAACCTGGTGCCATCTCCTTCCAACCCTCTGTTTTTCGTTCACCGCACCAAAAGCACACCCCTCGGCTGATATTTGCACCAGAAATAAATGAACTGAAGCCCATCCCACAGCAGCACCCGTTGCTCCGTCACGCGGCAGCAGGATGGACCCAACCGAGCCCTCCCGGCCCCGCTCTCCTCCAGCACAAACCCACCATCACCCAGACCCAGCATCACCCAGCCCAGACCCTTCCACCTCGACACACGCCTGTGGAGCTGCTCTTGGTTTCCATCAGCATCACGGACCTGCAGGATGAATTAGTTGGGGGGGTTCAGCCTGGAGAAGAGAAGGCTCCGGGGAGACCTTCAAGCCCCTTCCAGTCCCTCAAGGGGCTCCAGGAAAGCTGGGGGGGACACTTGATGAGGGAGGGGAATGATGGAATGAGGGGAAGGGTTTTAAGCTCAAAAAGGAGAGATTTAGGTTAGGTTTTGGGAAGAACTTATTTAGTTTGAGGGTGGTGAGAGCCTGGCCCAGGTTGCCCAGAGAAGCTGTGGCTGCCCCATCCCTGGAGGGGTTCAAGGGCAGGTTGGAGGGGGCTTGGAGCAACCTGGGCTGGTGGGAGGTGGCCCTGCCCAGGGCAAGGGTTGGAACTGGATGGTCTTTAAGGTCCCTTCAACCCAAACCATTCTGCGATTCTGTGAAATCTGGAGCAGGAAAATGCCTTCTCAAGGTCTCCAGGCAAATGGGCTTTGAACTTCTCTTTCTAAGCCCAAGCCAAAGAACCTCCAGCCCCTCTCTCTCCCCAGGGAGCAGCTTGGCAGCCCCATGCGCACGGAGCTGCACAGATGCCACCACGCTCTCTAAGGTCCCTTCCAACCCAAACCGTTCCGTTTGAAGCCCTTGGTCCTGACCTTGCAGAGGAACCGGCGAACGTTCTCCCCATCTCCCAGCACGAAACCTCCAAATAAATGACCTGTCCCTTCTCTCGCACTAAAAAGCCATCTCAGCCCCGCGGAACCGCTCGCTGAGCAGCGCCCAGAGCTGGGGTCAGATTATTTTTAAAATCTTTCCTTTTATTGATTTCAATACCAGGGACAGAAGAGACATTACACGAGACCAGAGAGCCCTCAGCATTGTCTCCACCACAACCTCGCTGCGGCCACGGGAGACACAAACATTTACTGGAACAGCAATAAACAGGCGAAGAAGGTCGAGATGGGGGACAACCTGGACATGGGGCCCTCTCCCAACACAAGGGCCACAATAAGAGTGGCTTCTCAGCTCCCACCAACTACCAGCTCACACCAGGACAACCAGCTCCCACTGGGACCACCAGCTCCAACCACGACTACCAGCTCTCACTGGGACCACCACTCCCACCATGACCACCAGCTCTCACTGGGACAACCAGCTCCCACCACAAAAATAAGAGTCTCATCCACCAGGGAGAAACCGGAGCAGGGAAGCCCTCCTCTGCACCAAAAACCCCATTTTGCCCCAAATCAGTGCCGTGGCTGCGGCCAGGACCCAGCAGAACCACACCAGGTGGCCAAGAGAAGGGGACGACGGGTGTTGGAGAACCCTGGTGGTACCCACCATTGGATTTTGGGCTGTAGGACCTAAAGCAGGTGCCACCTCCCTGCCCCACACTGGCTCTGGGGGCTCTGGTGCCCGGTCCCGCTCACCAGGACCCCTTTGCACCTGCAGCAGGAGAGGGGTGCGACACCAGGCAGGGTGCACCAGACCCACCACTCCTCCTGTCACCACAGCAGAGCTGTAGGTCCACATCCTGCACCAGTTTGGGAATCTGAGCCCATGAGCTTCACCCAGATGGAGTGACCTCCATGGGGATGGCCTCCATGGGGTCAAACTTCATAGGGATGACCTCTATGGGAGGACCTCCAAAGGGGTGACCTCCACGGAGGTGATCTCTGTGGGGATGACCTGGGGACAAACTCCCTAAGGACAAACTCCATGGGGATGAACTCCACAGGGGTAACCTCCATGGGGATGACTTCCCATGAGACAACCTCCATGGGCATGATGCCCAAGGGAGTGACCTCCATGGAGATGACCTCCATTGGGATGACCTCCATGGGGATGCCCTCCATCGAGATGACCTCCACTGGGATGACCTCCATGGGGATGACCTCCATTGGGATGACCTCCATGGAAGCCCCCTCCTCACCCCCATCCCGGACTGAGGGAGACGCACGGGCCCTGGGAAGGCGGCGAGAGCCCCAAGGTTGGGATTTCCCCCCTACCTGCTACGCAGACTCCTGCATCTTCTGCTCCTGCCAGAGGATGAGCTGCGGCCACCGCTCCTCAATCAAACTGCAAAGGAAAAGCAAGCAGCCGTCAGTCTGAGGGGACAGAGGCAAGTCCAGGGCTCTCCACACCCCCCGTCCCAGCCCAGAGAGGGCAGTGCCTCTCCCAGCACCAAGGCCAGTCCAGCAGTGCCACACCACACCGTAGGACTTCTGGTGGGACCGTGCAGCAGGACAAGCACTCATCATAGAATCGCAGAATGGTTTGGGTGGGAAGGGACCTTAAAGATCATCTCCTTCCACCCCCCTGCCCTGGGCAGGGCCACCTTCCACCAGCCCAAGTTGCTCCAAGCCCCCTCCAACCTGCCCTTGAACCCCTCCAGGGATGGGGCAGCCACAGCTTCTCAGGGCAACCTGGGCCAGGCTCTCACCACCCTCACAGCAAAGAACTTCTGCCCCACATCTCAGCTCAATCTCCTCAGTTTTGGTTTAAAACTCTTCCCCCTCGTCCTATGGCTCCACTCCCCAAACACCATCCCTGGAGGGATCTAAAAGCCGGTGCTGAGGGACACAGGTCAGTGGTGGGTTGGGCAGTGGTGGGTTGATGGTTGGTCTTGATGAACTTGGAGGTCCCCTCCAACCCAGGGAAGTGGTGGAATCACCAGAGCATCCCAGAACGTTTGGGGTTGGAAGGGACCTTCAAGACCATGCAGTTCCATCCCTTCTAGAGGAAGGGACATCTTCAATGAGACCAGGTTGCTCCAAGCCCCCTCCAACCTGCCCTTGAACCCCTCCAGGGATGGGGCAGCCACAGCCTCTCTGGCCAACCTGGGCCAGGCTGTCACCATCCTCAAAATAAACAAGTTCTTCCCAATATTTCACCTCAATCTCCCATTTTTCAGCTTCAAACCCTTCCCCCTCATCCCATTGCTCCCCTCCCTCATCAAGAGTCCCCCCCCACCTTTCCTGGAGCCCCTTGAGGGACTGGAAGGGGCTGGAAGGTCTCCACGGAGCCTTCTCTTCTCCAGGCTGAACGGGGTCGGTTCAGCCAACCTTGTGCTGGTCACTCATCTATCGATGGCCACCACCATCCGGCGCGGGACGGGAGGGAAACTGAGGCAGGGAGGGCATCACCGGGCTCTCCCAACGCCCCCCCAGCTCCCCATCCCGAAGCTGAGCTGCAGCTTCCCCCCCCC